GTTTTTCTAATTGTAAATGAAATAAGAATTTTGAAAAAGTTAGGCTAAACCTACATCTGATTCGGTCATCCTCTTTAATAATAATAATAACAATAATAACATTTATTGGTTCATCAGTATTGCTTAATTTGTGAAATAACTTTGATTTTTGTTAAATAATTGATATTTTTATTATGAATTTCAATTTTGACAGTAACCTAATTTATTTGACGTTTGAACGTAATTATTTGTTTACCATTAAAATCCCTCAACCTGCGCTCATGATTCTAGTATTGGTATCAAAAACTGGTATGCCGCACATCAAAAATCAGTATGAGGCGGCACGGTCAATCATTCTCGATCACCCTGTAATTGTTTTCGAACGTTTGGTTATTACAATTTAGTATTTTCAATATTGTTAACGTTTTCACTGTGTTTTATAATTGAATATGAGTTTTTAGTATCATGTTCAATTGATGCTCATCTTAATAGTTAAAATCAACGAAAGCTTAATTGTTATTTGCACTAAAATGATCAATAATATCCTGATAAAAAAATTCTAAAAACGGACACAGTAAATGATTACTTAGTTTACATCAATTTATTATCATCCAAGGAAGCTGTCCTTAAGGTATCACCCATTAGTTTTGTGACACCCTGTATAGTCCCCAAACTGTAATTGTATTGTTGAGAAGAGTGTTTGTTTGAAAGGTAGAAGTGGAGTTGAATTTCAAGAATTATGTCTTTAACTTAATAACAGTTGTTTAATTGAATAAACATTTTTTTAATATAGAAATAATTCACCATAGATTACAATAATTAAAATTAACAAAATAGATTATCAATAAAACAAAAGAATGCTGTTTAATAATAAATGAAATAAATTTTTGTTTGCTTTTTTCAAACAAATTGTTTGGTGTCAAGAAATAAATATTTGTTTGGCTCTATCCACACAAATTATTCATTTCAGTGAAACAATTTTGTTTTACTGGCACCAATTTTTATTATACAGTTTGTTCCTTAATGTATGATATATATCCTTTCTTTTTAATAAATTTTAACACTTTTTATTTTCGCAACGGAACATTTTTGGACCATAGTTTATAAAGCAAACTGTCATTAATTTTCCATGTAGAATAACACCTTTAAATATTCGCGTATCATTAAGGAACACCCTGTATATCAGGGCTACATCATTTGTACTTATACCATATTAATACTATAGATAATTGATTACACCCTTTCCAAATTCAGCCAGATTCCTCCCTCAGCAGAGGAAACAAGGGCTTTGGCAGACATCTTTAGGGGTAGTGTGGTTTTCTTGTCCAGTTTCACTCTGAATTTCCTCAAAAGGCAGGTCAGACCCACTCTAACTTGCATCAAGCCGAATCTTTCTCCTGAAAAATTAATCAACTTGAATATAGTCGTTTTTTCCACATAGCATAGTTATACCATAAACGAGATAAGTATTATTTACCAGTCAAGAACGACCTTGCGCCCGAGCGGAGCGAGGCTTACACCAGGAAAGTTAGCGAAAATAAAAGAGAAATTCGAAAAAATTCTCATCCGCGATATTATTGTAAAATTGTCTAAAGGAACATAATCCAAGACATCTCTCATCTCGTGAGTCAAAAAAATTTATTAGCTAACTTTTCTATTTAAACAAATAAATGAGGAAAACAGTTTTTTCCCTTTGCAGGGAAAACCATCAATTTTAGCGAAAAGTGACTCTCAGACAACTTGTAGGGAATAAAATTACCTACAAAATGAGACTTATTAAAATAAAATTGGTTAATAAACAAGTAAGTTATTGAAAAAAAAGACAAGAAAAGTGCCCATTTTTTAATTTGTTTATAACTATCGCATTTATTATTAAAATTTTATAAAACCTATGATAAGTTGAGGTTTTGTCATACTTTAAAAGTATGCCAAAAGTGGGCGCTGTAGGTGCAATAGTTTTCGCACAATTCAATTTGATTTTGACTGAGGCGACCTATTAAAAAATATCACTGGTTTTTTTGATATTAGCATTCTCAAATTGTGCATTAAAAAACCGTACTTTTTTCGCTTAGAAACAATTTGAGTAAAATTGTTGCTATTTATGCTACCTCACCGAAAATAGATTCAATGGATAGGTGGCAAAAAAATGCAAATTTAAAAAAAAGCACCTTCTACGACCAACAGGAGAAAAGATAAGATTTTTTTTAAATTGGAGCGCAATTGTTTATAAAAATTAAGACTTTTTTTCGCAAAATAAAGTTTACGACGTAAACTACGATTTCCCATGACTTGCATTGCCAAAGTTCAAATTGATGCGCGCTGTAAAATTTTGCAATATCTCGGCTTCTATTCATCATAGAATCTTCTTTTTTTTAAGCTGGGGTAGCTCGACGAAAAAATATCAGTGGGCATATTTACGAATTCGTAGAATCCCAGAAAAAATGCGTCTTTTATACTTAATGTTCTTTAATTTACAAAAATATCACAAAAAATATTGTTAAACGAAATATTAATTAAATTTTCAATTTCGGAATTATTTTACTATTATTAATAAATAAATAAACCTATCATTCATTTAAAAAGTTATTTTTCATAAAAATTGAAAAAATTTTAAATTTTAAATTGTTTTATTATATTGCATTATATCTATTATTGAAAATGGTTGCGATTAATATATTTTGAATTAATTTTGATTATGTTGCAAACATTTTTTCGTATAAAATTAGTAATAAATATAATAAAAAAACTTTATATATGTCGGCATCAACCTTGTAATCGCTTATGAATGCGTAGCCACTCGAAGAACTGTCGTCGTCGATGGAATGTTGAGAGCTTGTTTTTGTTTATGTTACAGAAATATTAGAGTACCAAATTGTTATGTCTTCAGGGTTAAGTTTTAGCCTGTGTGTGAAAGACCATCATTATCTAACTTTTATAAACACTTCCTTATATGGTCATGTTTGGTAAAAAGTAAACTGATAGGGTAAAGGAATGCACTGGGTACCGCACCACTACTGTAA